GAGGAGAGAACTTCCACTTTGACTATGGCCTTGTCTAAATAAGATGGGAGTTGGCGAACTCAAGAGGCTTCCATAGCCTTGGCAGCTCATGACAAGAGCCTCAGGTGATTACTAACGTCATAAATAAGAGTGTCAATTGTTAAATCAACAACAGGAGTCACTGTACACCTACTTCCCATGTAGTATCTCTGCCCTTAATGTGTTGTACTATGTGAATTAATGGTATAACTAGAACTTAAATAGTACCTTACACTTTGTGTTTCTGTGTGGGTGCAAACTGTTGAAATCTTTACTTAATATATACTAAATTGATCTTCTGTATATAAAGATAGTTGAAAATGAACCTTGATGAAGAATGGGATGGGAGAGGGAGTGGGAGATGGGATGGCTGGGGGTGGGAGCAGATTATGAGGGAAAAGCTGCTATAATCCAAAAGTTGTACTTTGGAAATTCATATTTATTAAATAAGTATTATAAAAAAAAAAACAAAAAAAAGAATATAGAAGAACCTATGAACTCGCCAATGGAGCAGGCTAAACCGTTCATAATAGAGGCTGAGGAGGAATTTGAAGTCATGCCAGAAAAAGAATTCAGAAAATTAGTAATCAGATTACTTAAAAGCAATGAGAAATGATTCAAGATCTGAACGAAAAGCACACCCAAGGAATAGAGATCCTAAAGAGAAGCCAGAATGAAATACTGGAAATGAAAAACTCAATTGACTAAATAAAAATACCATGGAATCCCTCAGGAATCAAACAAATGAAATAGAAGAGTGACTATCAGAACTTGAAGACAAACTTCCAAAAATAATACAGTCAGATCAAATACAAGAGTAAACTAGAAAATTAAAAATCATGATTGGAGACTTACAATATTCAATCAAGCATTGTAACATCCAGATAATAGGAGTCCCTGAGGGTATGGAAAGAGAGAACGGATTAGAAGGCATTTTCAATGAAATAATACCAGAAAACTTCCAACGTAAACAGGTTGAAAAAAAAAAAAAAACAAGCAAATTCAGCAAATACACAGGAGTCCAAACAAATGTGACCAGAAAAGGAATTCACCACGACACATTGTGGCAATACTCATAACACAAAGAACAAATCCTAAAATGTGCCTGAAAGAAAAGACAAATCACATTCAGAGGTAAGTCAATCAGATTCACCCCATACTTCTCATTGCAAACCCTACAGGCAAGGAGACAATGACATGATATATTCCAAGTTTTAAAAGATAAAGGCTGCCAACCAAGAATAATGTACCCTGCAAAGCTATCATTTATGAATGAAGGAGAAATAAAGATTTTCCATGACAAACAGAAACTGAAAGAATTTGTATCTTCATGTCCAGCCCTACAACACTGGCTCAAAGATGTACTGCACGCAGAAACACAAACAAGAACTTCACTACAAAAGAAGATGAATGTAGAAAATGACCCAGCTTAAATACAAACAAATACCAAAATACATAAACAGCTCTTCTTAAGGAAACATGACAGGAAAAAGACAGTATTTAACAACAGTCACACTGAATGTAAATGGTCTCAACTCTACAGTAAAAAGACACAGACTAGCTGAATGGATTAAAAAAGAAAACCCATCTATCCGTTGCCTTGGGGAATCACATCTCACAAGCAAAGATGTGCGTAGACTGAAAGTGAAAGGCTGGAAAAAGATATTCCAAGCTAACATAAACCAAAAAAAAGCCAGTGTGGCCATCCTAATATCAGACAAAATAGAGTTCAACACAAAAGCTATTAAAAGAGACAAAGAAGGACATTATATAATGACTAAAGGATCAATCCAACACAAAGACATTACTATTATAAATGTATATGCACCTAATTACAGGGTGCCTGGATATTTGAAAGAATTACTAAAGGATTTAAAGGGAGATATAGACTCAAATATAATAGTAGCAGGGGACTTCAATACCCTACTTTCACCAATGGACAAATCAACCAGACAGAAATCCAACAAGGAAATAACAGAGCTAATTGACACTATAAACCAAATAGACCTAGTAGATATCCACAGAGCCTTCCATCCCACAGCCACAAAGTACACATATTTATCCCAGGTACATGGAACTTACTCTAGGATTGACCATATGCTAAGCCATAAATAGAGCCTCAGAAAATTCAACAAATTGAAATTATACTGGCCGGCGCTGTGGCTCAATAGGCTAACCCTCCACCTGTGGTGCCAGCACACCGGGTTCTAGTCTCAGTCGGGTGCCAGATTCTGTCCCTGTTGCTCCTCTTCCAGTCCATCTCTCTGCTGTGGCCTGGGAGTGCAGTGGAGGATGGGCCAAGTCTTTGGGCGCTGCACCCGCATGGGAGACCAGGAGAAACACCTGGCTCCTGGCTTCGGATCAGCACAGTGCACCAGCCGCAGCGTGCCAGCTGCAGCAGCCATTGTGTGTGTGGGGGGGGGTAACCAATGGAAGAGGAAGATGTTTTTCTCTGTCTCTCTCTCTCACTGTCCACTCTGCCTGTCAAAAAAAAAAAAGAAGAAGAAATTATATCATACATCTTCTCAGACCACAGTGCAATGAAACTTGAAATCAACAACTCAAGAATATCTGTATCATATGCAAAAACATGAAGAATGAACAACATGATTCTGAATGAACAGTGGGTCATAGAAGAAATCAAAAGAGAAATCAAAAAATTTCTAGAAACAAACGAAAATGACAATACAACTTATCAAAACTTGTGGGATACATCAAAAGCAGTGCTAAGAGGAATGTTTATAGCAGTTGGTGCCTACATCAAGAAACTGGAAAGGTACCAAATAAATGAATTCTCTGTGCACCTCAAGGATCTAGAAAAATAGCAGCAAACCAAACCCAAATCCAGCAGAAGAAAAGAAATACTGAAGATTAGAGAAGAAACCCACAGAACTGAAACAAAAAAGCAATACAAAAGATCAGCAAAACCAAGAGCTGGTTCTTTGAAAAAAATAAACAAAATAGACACAACATTGGCCCAACTAACCAAAAAAAGGAGAGAGAAGACCCAAATCAATAAAATTAGAGATGAAAAAGGAAATATAACTGACACAACAGAAATAAAAAGAATCATGAGAAACCATTACAAAGAGCTGTATGCCAACAAATTGGGAAACCTAGGAGAAATGGATAGATTCCTGGACACATACAACCTTCCGAAACTGAGCCATGAAGACATAGAAAACCTAAACAGATCCATAACCATGAAAGAAATTGGATCAGTAATAAACGTGCTACCAAAAAAGAAGAGCACGGGACCAACGGCTTCACCACTTAATTCTACCAGATATTTAAAGAACAACTAATCCCAGTGCTTCTCAAATTATTCAAAACAATTGAAAGAAAGGGAATCTTCCCAAATTCTTTCTATGAAGCCAATATCACCTTAATTCCTAAACTCAGAAGACACAACAGAGAAAGAAAACTATAGACCTATCTCCCTGATGAACATAGATGCAAAAATACTCTACAAAATCCTGGCCAATTGAATCCAACTACACATCAGAAAGACCATTCATATATATATATAATAATAACAATTTGCTTATCCACTCACCTTATGATGGAACTTGCACTGTTTACAGTTGTGAATTCATGAAAATAAAGCTATTATGAACATTCACATACAAGTCTTTGTATAGACACATGCCTTCCTTTCTTGGATGAGTACCTAAATCACATGGCATATGAATATTAACTTTTTTAAAAAAACTGCCGAACTTTTCAGAGTAACTCTGGCACATTACATTCACACCCATAGGCTGAATGCTTATTGATCTGCACCTTCAATCCCTTCTTACAGTGCACTCCAACACCACATTAACTTAGATCAGGAACCAAAATAAGTACCTCTGTTTATTCAGGTAAACTTTTGCCAGCAAAATTTCACACGTGTTCCAAGTGGCCTTATTGACATGTTTTCTCAAGAAATTGGCTCTCATTCTCAACAGAAATTGTTTTCATATAATAACTTGTCCATATAGCTGAAAATTCAACAAATATGTTGTTTTAGACACTGAGTTACAACTAATACTGCAATTTATTAAATGATGTTGGGTGTTTAGGCTATAAAATGAATTAATGAGCTTTTATTTAATTTTGTTTTCTTTCCTTAAGAGAGATTTGTTCCAAACGAATAAATTAATTGAGATTAATACACAATGTAGTAATTTAGGTAAACATGTTTTATCCAGTGAAATTGATTTTACAATCCAATAGTCTAGGTTTCACACTTATTATCTAATTCATATGAAATAGAAATATATTAATGCAAATTCACACAAGGAAATAAATATGAGAAAGATCTCCTCAACAACAATAATCATATGACTTATCACTTCCATGATAGGGACAAAATGCAATTATGCAACAATATTATATGCATGTATTTTCTAGAGTACATAGTCTGACAAGACTGTGGCCTGAAAACATAATAGGTATCTCCAGCCACATAGTTACACACCATTTTCAAAATTAAATCTTAATAGTCTAGCTAGATAGCACAAGTATTTACAATATAATTTCCTGCAACTCATCGACTTGCTCTCCAAAATGAACAATACCAATGTCCTGGACTATTAGCCTTCTAGAATCTGAAACCTTATGATACTGTGAATTTGTCTGTATTGTTAGCAATTTTTTTACATTCTATTCACATTTAATATGCACTCATTTGTCTTCCTCAATAACCTGACAATTTCTTGAAGCCAATTTTTTCTGCCTCTTTATCCGCTAATGTAGGAAATTGTCTCCGTAATACAGAATAGACAGTCAGTGAAGAAATAAGCATATGCGTGCTATAACCATAATTGCCAAAATATTCCCTCATTTTAAGATCCTGAAAAATATATAGTTCAGTCTTTTGAATGCTTTTAATATTCTGGAAAAATCAAAATTTATAGAATTGTTCTATGTGAATAAACTTACTAGTGATGCATGTGGATAACTTCTAATGACCGAGTGATTCTTTTTATCTGTTACAGGTTACTTACACTATAGTAATGCATATCATCAGTGCTATTGTTGCATCGATTGGTGTGCTTTTAATTTCGCTTGAGATTTTGGCAGTTAGTTTAACTCCAGGAGATTTTATTTGGGTTCATGTAAGTACCAGGTTTCTCTGAGAATTTCCTCATGATTTTAAATTATGTATTAATTCTTTGGGACATGATCAGAGTATTTAAGTATTATACAAGTCTTACAAGTTACCCTCATCAATTTACTCTTTGGTATATTCACCTATAATAATTGTAATTCAAAATACTGGCTATGTTCTAAACCTAGGACTGCCCAACACCTCAAGTAACCAGTTAGAAGGTATTATACATATTTATAGATATATTTTGAGTGAGTGAACATTGTATACAATTCTGGACCTACCTGATTATCGTGATGTGTTTATGATGGGCAGCTTGTTCCTTTCAGGTATCTACATTTCTAAGGTCAGTTCTCCCATGACTTAAAAGATAAAGTTTGTTATAGCAAGACTTAATCTCTGAAGAATAACATGGCATACTTTTGTACCTCAGAGTATTTTAAATATCAGTCATGTAGTCTACAGACAGAGCAAAGCTGAACTCTGTACATGTTTGTAACTTGTAATGCCCGTGTACTCAGTTCTGTATGTACACAGCTATATAGAGAGTTTTACACTGCTTGATTTGCATCTGTCAATCTGTCAACAGATCTGTGTAAGTTTTTTTAAGTATGTCGTGTCTGTGTTTCATTATCTGGGCTTCTCTGCTGGTGAATCTTGGATATATGCACACTTACCTGTGTGTGCACATACATGTATAGTTTTACTGACATGGAAGAAGTTGCTATGAAGGCTAAGAGATGGAAGTCAGTGCTAAGCAAATTGAGTAGGAATGTAAACTATAAGGGCCACTGGATTCCTACATTTCCGCTCCATTCTGTCTGCCCAGCACTTGACAGAGATCAAAACAGGTGGGCCTTGGGTCAAGACCTAGAAACCAAGTTTTCAGAATTGTATTTCTTTGGAGGTTGTCTGTTTTTAAAATTCCTAACCTCATACAGAAAGCTCCTTAAATCTGCATCCAAAATTTTTAATTATCTAGTTCCAAAGAAGTTGCACTTTTTGGACAATTTTTCTGTGTAGCTTCAGTAGTGATTTTACTGTGAGTGGAACTACTAACTTCCTCAGTGAATTATATCTATGCTTTAACAAAGAAGCAAATAAAGAAGCTACTTGCTCAGGGTTACAGGGCTAGTCACTTGCAGAGAACTTACTATCATGAAGAAGATCTTCGGCCAACATTATTTCACCACACAAAATTGAGGCTTTAACATAAACCAATTCAGTGGCACATCAAAGAGCATTTTAGTGCTTTAAGGAGTGCTAAAATTGTATGACAGATACCTTGATAGATATCTTAAAATGAAACAATAAATTGTATTAAACAAATATATTAAACATTAAATTGTATTAAACAAATATAATATAAACATCATGATATTGCTTAAGATTATATCCGCATGATAGTAAGAGCACATTTTATTAGACAAGTATGTCATTATGGTATTAACTCTTCCATTTTTTCAATTCATCTCTAGAAGCACCAATGCTCATATTTGCAAGAAATTGAGAGTCTTTCTCTTGAATCCCTTTCCCTGCTAACCCTCTCAAGATTTTCAGGGCCACTGAGAGCCAGAGGTTCAATATTGACCTCAAGTTCTTGGATGAAAGAATCCTAGAACATCTCAGCAGTCCATAAGCATATCCATAATTTATATTGCCATGATTCAGTTACTATTTTTTTTAACTTTTATTTAATGAATATAAATTTCCAAAGTACGATTTATGGATTACAATGGCTTCCCCCACATACCGTCCCTCCCACCCACTACCCTCCCCTTTCCCACTCCCTCTCCCCTTCCATTCACATCAAGATTCATTTTCGATTATCTTAATATACAGAAGATCAGCTTAGTATACATTAAGTAAGGATTTCAACAGTTTGCTCTCACACAGAAACATAAAGTGAAAAATAATAGATGATTTTTTTTTAAATGAAGATGAAATCAGATCAGACCTATTGTCATGTTTAATCCCAGTGAGAGTCAAGTTGGGAGTTGATAATTTTTTTTTTTTACAGAGGATCAGTTTAGTATACATTAAGTAAAGATTTCAACAGTTTGCACCCCCATAGAAACACAAAGTGAAATATATTGTTTGAGTACTCATTATAGCATTAAATCTCAATACACAGCACATTAAGGACAGAGATCCTACATGAGGAGTAAGTGCACAGTGACTCCTGTTGTTGACTTTACCAATTGACACTCCTGTCTATGGCATCAGTAGTCTCCCTATGCTCCAGTCATGAGTTTCCAAGGCTATGGAAGCCCTCTGAGTTCTCCGATTCTTATCTTGTTTAGACAAGGTCATAGTCAAAGTGGAGCAGGGGAGAGTGATTCAGTTACTATTAAAAGGTGTCATTATTGAACATTGGTCTGAAGAACCCATGGTGGCCTTGTAACAGAAGTATTTCAGGTACTGAAGTGGGTAGGCTTCCAATATAACAAATTCTGTATTATTGTCCCCAGCCCAACTATTCTGTGAGGATATGAGTGCGTTGGAACTTATAGTCAGAGGGACAAAATCAGAAAGAAAGAGCCAGTGCCTTGGATACATAAATCCTTATATTGAACCCAGGATACAAATTCAAACTTTCTCTTTCTTCAGCATAAATTCCCGTTTAGAGTCTTTTCCTAATAGCCAGGCAAATTTTATGTACTTATATGAAAAATGAGTCCTATAACTCAAGAGTGTCTCAAGTCTATCTTCTGTAGGGGTTCATGGGTCCCAATGCCTCAATGAATATTTGCTGGTCTTATTCACAACCAAAGAAAACAAACAAGCAGGAAACACAACCAATTATTCTCATTATTCTAATTATCCATTTGACAGAAATTTATCAGTTTATCATCACCCTCAAAAAATTATCAGTTATTATCACAAAATCAAGTAAAATATTTTAAATTAATCATTTGCTGGAGAGTAGAGGATGTAGTGAGTAGATTCTCCATTCTATTTTTCTTCTTCCTGCATTTTATGATGTTTTAATTATGTTTAAAGTATTAAGCTATAAATATCTGTAAGTAATGTACATTTTCTTTTTGGATACAGAAAAGTGCTAAACTCCTTTCAGAGTATTTGTTGTTATTCAGCCTCTTGGAATTGCTTGTGGCAATTACAGTGACACGCTGGGCAAAACAAGCAAAAAGAAGATAAAAATTCAGTGAGTATCTCACATCTCCCTTGGTGAATCAGAAGCTAATGATTTCTTTTATGAACCCTATTTGATAGGAATTACACATAAATAGGGTCATCACTAAAGTGTGATTATAAGTAATTGAAAACACTGTACTTACTATCACATGCTATGTGAGTCTCTGTACAGTTGAAGACGATCTCTAGCTCGTGTCTGCTTAATTCAACAGATAATTTCTTGGAAACAAAAAAGCTTTGTAGAAGTCATTACCAGGTAAAAGGATATTGACACACATGTTAAACCATAAATTTTCAAAATTTGGGAGAAAGAATTTTAAAATATCAAAATGTAGAACTTTAGTGTCTTCAGAAACCAAGATTTTGTAGTAACTGGGAAGTTGGAAAGATGGCAAAAAGCTTTGGTGAAAGATATCTCTGTCCTTTCTTCCCAGTCTGGCTGCAGAGGCCCAGGTTTATAATCATAAGGCTGATGTGAAGGAGAGTGTTGTTTGTCCATTTGTCGTGTAGCAGATAGAACAGGCTAGAAATGGAAAGGGCTGCTCCTTCCTCATGTTACACTTCCTTATCTCACAAATCTGCCGACTTCTTACATGGGCCTTTACATCTTTAAGCAGATGATATTCTTCCCCTTGACTTGTCCAACTTTAGCTTCTCTATGGACAACACCATGTATGTCTGTCTACAGCTTAGTTAACCATCTATAAATTTACAACAGTCTTAATGCTCAGTCTCTATCCTAGACCTTCATAATGATGCTTCCAAACTTACATCTCCAGCTTCCCACTAGAGTTTTTCACCCAGATTGTCGCTCCCCCTCTTCGCGGAGGAACGACACAGAACCCTGCGCTGTTCTTTTGTCTGCTCGGCCCTTCCCGGGTTTGCTGCTGGTCCTTCCCAGGTTGGCTGCTGACCCCTCCACCTCTGTGGAAGGGCAGCTCCCCCTGCCACTTTCCCCACTTCCGCGGGGGAGCGGCACACCGCCGGCCGGCTCTCTCGGGGGCTGCTCAGATGTTATCCAGATGTTCCCCTCAGATGTTCCTTGGTGCATGTTGTCTCCTCCTTTATAGTCCTCTCCCACCAATCCCAACTCTGCTGCCCACATGCCGAGCACGCTGCTCTCCTCCAATCAGGAGCAGGATCAGCTCCTGCAGCTTATCAAACTGACGAGGCAGCTGCGTAGAGGCTGTTTGGTCTCTTTCTCTCAGCGCCATATTGTGGGAGAGCAGATGCATAAATAAGTCTTAATTCCAGTAACTTAGTCTAGTCCGAGTTGCTCCCCACACAGATGATACTGAATGAAAATAAAATAGATTAAAAAATGAACTGATCATCTCAACCACAGGTTATTTCCTTATCTCTTTTCCCTTTAAGCGCACCACCATCCACCTGTCTGCTCCTGCCAGGGAGCTGAGAAATGTCTCTGAACTGATATAATATGACAGCCTTTTCTGTATGAGCTCCTAAATATATTTTGTTTCTGTCTTCCTTGTTTTCCTCATACAGCATGAGAGCTTGGTGTTGCAGTACAGTATTAATTTCCTGTAATAATTTAGCCCCCATATACTTTATTTTTATTTAAGTTATACAAGTTTCATGTATCTCAAATGTACAGATTTAGGAACAGAGTAATGTATCCCCCGCTACCATCCGTCCACCCAAGCTCCAACAATTTTTCCTCCTCCCTCTCACATTACCACTCTTAATTTTTACAAAGATCTATTTTCAGTTTATTTGATGATCATATAGTTAATCTCACACTAAGAAAAAGAGTTCAACAATAATATGAAAAAAACACTGTTCCTTAACAGTAGATACAAGGGCTGTAAACAATCATCAGATCTCAAAATGTACATTCACTCCTAAACAATATTTTTTAGGTACTCTATTACTTTCCCTGGATCAGGGAAAATATGTTATCTGTCTTTGTTGGATGGACCGGATTATTTCACTAAGTCTAATGGGTTCCATTTGCATCATTCTTGTTGCAAACAACAGGATTTCAATTTTTATATAGCTGAGTAGTACTCTAAAGTGTATATATGCCATAATTTCTTTATGCAGGCAACAGTTGATGAACATCTGTGTTGATTCCATATCTTAGCTTGTGAATAGAGCTGCAATTAACATGTGGGTACAGATAACTCTTTAAGATCCTTATTCCTTTGGGTTTAGGTAAATCCCCAGGAGTAGGAACGCTGGGTCATATGGTAGGTCTATATTTATATTTCTGAGCTACCTCCATACATCTTCCACAGTGGCTTCACCATTTTACATTCCCACCAACAGTGGATTAGGGTACCTTTTTCCCCACATTCTCTCCAGCATTTATTGTTTGTTGATTTCTGTATGAAAGCCATTCTAACTGGAATGAGATAAAACCTCACTGTGTTTTTGATTTGCCATTTCCCTGATGGCTAGTGATCCTGAGAATTTTTTCAAGTGTCTGTTAGCCATTTAAATTTCCTCTCTTGAAAAATCTCTATTCAAGTCCTTTTCCCATTTCTTAACTGGATTGCTTGTTTTGTTATTGCTGAGTTTCTTGAGCTCTTTAAGCATTCTGAATGTTAACCCTTTATCACTTGCATAGTTTGCAAATATTTTCTCCCATTCTGTTGATTCCCTCTTCAGTTTGCTGAGTGTTTCTTTTAAGTGCAGAAGCTTCTCAGCTTGATGTCATCCCATTTGTCAATTTTGATTTTGATTGCCTCTGTTGTCTGGAGTCTTTTCCAAGAAGTCTTTGCCTATGCCAATTTCTTGCAGAGTTTCCCCAATGTTCTCTAGTAATTTGATAGTATCAAGTCATAGATTTATGTCTTTGATCCGTTTTGAGTGGATTTTTATGTAAGGTGTAAGGTATGGGTCTAGTTTCATACTTCTGAATGCTAAGATCCAGCTTTCTCAACACCACTTGTTGAAGAGGCTGTCCTTGCTCCAGGGACTCCTTTTGGCTCCTTTGTCAAAGATAAGTGGGTTGTAGATGTGTGGATTGATACCTGGAATTTCTATTCTGTTCCATTGGTCTATAATGGCTTACACTTCAGTTCCAGCTTCCTGCTAATGCACACCCTAGAAGGCAACAGATGATGACTCAAATACTCGAGTCTGTGACACACTTGGGAAACCTGGGTGGAGTACCTAACTCCTGGCTTTGGCCTGGCCCAGCCCAGCTGTTGTGTGCATTTGGGAAGTAAACCAGCAGCTCTCTTTCTCTCTCTCAAATAAGTAAGAATAAATAAATCTTTTTAAAAAACTGATAGGTATTCAACACTATACTTAATGGTAAGATTATTTAGTCTGTATAGAAAACTGTGTCTCCTTATATGGTCAACAGTTATCTTGGAGACTATTAATTCATATAGCTTTGTCTTTGTCTTTCAACCTAAAGAAAAAAATAGAAAGATGGAAGGAAGGAAGGGAGGGAGGGAGGGAGGGAGGGAAGGAAAAAGGAAACTAAAAATATCAAAAGCACATAGTTTAGTTTAAAAATGTTAAGAATATTCCTGTTATAATTCTTTCCAAAATGCTATCCAAAATTTTATACTTCTTCATTTTAGAGTGTACTAATTATCAATTTACTGGCATCCAACTTACCTCAGGTTCATGGCAGAAGGAGATCCTTTTCCTACATGTTAAAGAACCATCATGATCTCATTCAAGGAAGAAAGTTTAGTGGCAAATGAAGAACTTCATTTTGTTCAAGATGCTTCATGGAAAATGTCATTTAATTAAGTCCATCACAGTATTTCCTTTCCCCCATTTCATTAATAAAAATGAAAAAATTATGAATAAGTTTTTTCTGTATGGGAGACCTTATCATAAGTTTATGTAGGGTAAAGATGCTCAGCCTGAGTTCAGGAATTCTTTCATACAAGAGAAATTCTGTGAATCCATACCATTTCTGGAGGAGAATCTAGATCTAATATTGATATAGCAATGTGATCAACAATGATTTCAATTAAAATTATCATAAATTATGCAGTCTTATTGCCTGTGAATATCTCTTATTAGCTCTAACATTAACAAGATATTATTAAAATATGCATAGATTACCTATAGTCAAGAAGCCATCTCTCTAGGGTGTTGAGACTTCATGAATGAATGCCTATTGAATGTTAGTTTTTCTAGAAATCCAAGCTTCCATAATGTCCCTTGTTTCTTACCACACTTTTACTCCATGGCTCATCGCAATTAAGTTTTGTAAACATTTTAGATATCTTCTTAGAAATATTCTGTTGTGTCTATAGGGACTCTTCCCTATTCTTAAGAAATGTTCACTCATTTTCATGCTCCACCTCACCTTCCCTTTCACCATGAACATTGCTCCATTATGTAAAACATAAATAATTTTATTTGTAAGTGTCCCAGAAAATTCATGGCATTCTGTGGTAGCCATGTGTTTGTAATTCAAATAAAGCATGCACACACACACATACATTCACACAAACTTTTCTCTCTTTGGCAGTATATTTTCAAGATCCATCCATGTTGCCATCACTAAATTTATCAGTTTATTTATTTCAAATGCTATCTAATCATCTGTGGTTCGAATCCAACATATTTACACATTCACTGTACCAGCAGTGGACATCTAGGTTGCCCCATCCTACCTCCTAGAATAATTTCTTTGGAATATGAATTCAGGAGTAAAATATTTGTTATATATGTTTGTGCCATTTGCTCATGAACTGTAAGAATTCCCACCATTTGGAACAGTCCTGTGTTGTAGGTGTTTTATGTAGTGCACATTTTCATAAATATACCTCTGTCTACTTTCAGTCTCTTAGGGATGTATACATAGTCTGGTACACTAACAGTGTGACTTCTTATTTTCTTCTGTGGTGAGGGATTGCTTTTTGTCATTCCTTGGAATTGGAGTACAAATGAGGAATAACACTTGCTCAGTCTACCTTTATGTACTGAAAACCACGCTGTCGAAGAGACTTGAACATGCCTATGGGTTAAAAATATTTATTTAATAGGGAATACAATTTGAGTGTATTGAGGATAAAGAGATAATTGATCTAGTGAAAATAATGAGCCCGTGGAAGGAAGTGAAGTTAATAGCACAGACATACACACTTTAGAACAGAGGAAGGACACCTAATTCTTAGCAAGTAAGACAACAGCAGAAATTAGTTCTTGTTTCAATACTGGGGAGGGATGAGGAAAGAATGTGAGGACCCTTCATTTTTTCTTTTATATATGTGGCAAGGCAGTCATTTAAGAGTGAATTGTGAAAATAAGTAAGGTAATTGTTTGGATTAAGAGTTAACAACTATCAGTGAGAGAAATGACCAAATTATAGTCAAAAATTAATGAGAAGCATAGCTAGAGATCACCAATGGATTTAGACTACATGTTTGTTATGGTTTCTTTTTGTGTAACTGTGAGAGATACACTACAATATCCTACACAGAGAAGGTAGAATTACAGGGTGGGAACTCTGCATTTATAAGTTTCAATAAGATAGTGAGTTGGCTATGCAGTATCCTGGCTGAAGAAGGATATTTGAGAGTAATATAGAGCTCAAGGGGACAATAACATGAACCAAGGCTACTAATACATAAGGGGCCTATGTCAGAATTATAAAAAAAAATAGTACAATTTCCATAAGGACAGACTGCTCAACAGCAACCCCTGTGGGAAAATGTACTAAAAGATGGGTCTCTCTGAGCAGTACCATCAGAAACTGAATCTCTTTCCTGTTTGCTGATGAACTCAGCACCAGGGCAGTCTGCCCTGCAAGTATAAATTGGATAAGATTTTGGCCCCAGTCCCCGCACCCTTTAACACGGCCTGGTGTAATACAAAGAATATCTTGAGATACAGAGTCATGAAATATGAGGGACCTCCAAAATGTTCATGGAAAAATGCATATTATCAGAAAACTATGCATGAATTTCAATTCCTTCCACCAAAATAAACAACTTTTAATTCCATTTTCCATGAAACTTTTTGTGGTCCCCTCGTACAGGAGCTTGAGGACGGTTGTTTTGATCACAGACTGTAAACTAGAATTAGGATAGCACAGAGATCATCTCCAAGTGATCAGGAACTGTAAGATAGCCCTTTTCATTCATTCATTCATATATTTACTAAGAACTATTTATTGACTACCTATAATGACTAATTATTATTACTGAGAAAACAAATGTGAACAAAAGAGAAAGACCCTGCCTTTGTGGAAAGGAAGTCACTGGCACTATAATGATACATTCTGGCCAAAATAGTAAACATATAAATATTTAAAATGACAAATCTGACCTCCCCTCACCCCAACCCCCTGAAAAAGAAGGAACCATCAGTACCTAATATTACAAATTTCATAACTTAGGAGATAAAATTATGCATGTACTCTGCATTTTTTGTTCTCCTTTTATTTATTTTTAGTTTTTTTTAATTTTTAGCAGATTCAATATAGTTCATAGATACAATTTTAAGAATATAATGAGGAGGGTCTGGCACTGTGGCGTAGCAGGTAAAGCTGCCGCCTGCAGTGCCAGCATCCCATATGGGTTCCAGTTTGAGTCCCAGCTATTCTACTTCCTACCCAGCTCTCTGCTATGGCCTGGGAAAGCAGTAGAAGATGGCCCAGGCCCTTGGGCCCCTGCACCCACGTGGGAGACCCAGAAGCAGCTCCTGGCTCCTGGCTTCGGACCAGCACAGCTCTGGTTGTGGCCAATTGTGGAGTGAACCAGCGGATAGAAGACTCTCTCTCTGCCTCTCCTCTCTGCATAACTCTGACTTTCAAGTAAAATAAATAAATCTTAAAAAAAAAAAAGAATATAATAAGGAGCCAACATTGTAGCATAGCAGGTAAAGCCGTCTCCTGCAATGCTGGCATCCAAATGGTGCTGGTTCAAGTCCTGGCTGCTCCACTTCCAATCCAGCTCCTTGCTAAAGCCCCTGGAAGCCAGAAGATGATAGCTCAGGTACCTTAGCTTCTGCTATTCTTGTGGGACACCTGGAAGAAGCCCCTGGCTCCTACTTCTGGCTTTGGCCTGGCCCAGCACTGGCCATTACAGCCAACTAGAGAGTGAACCAGAGAGTGGAAGATTTTTTTGTCTCTCTCTCTTTCCCTCTCTCTCTGTAATTATGACTTTCAAAATATATAAATGAATCTTTAAAACAAAATAATATAATGATATTCTCTTCCTCCCTAACTCTTCCTGCAACCCTTACTCCTTCTCTTTTTTTAGTTTTTGAGGTAACATATTCTTAATTTACATTACAGTCAGTGGCTTAATTCTGCTTTTTTAATAAGAATTTAACAGAAATGTGATTCACATATAAAAAATTCACCTATATGAAGTACAGTGGTTTCTAATATATAACACCACCATCACCTAACTTTAGACCCTTTTTATCTAAACAGAAACACCAAACCCATTAGCAGTCATTACTGTTCCCCGCTACTCACCCCAGCCATACTGCACAACTACATATCCTCTCTCTCTCTCTGGACTTGTCCATTAAGGCAGTTTCATATGAATGTCTTTTGTGACTGCCTTCTTTTTTTATTTATTTATTTTTATTTGACAGGTAGAGTTACAGACAGTGAGAGAAAGAGACAGAGAGAAAGGTCTTCCTTTCATTGGTTCACTCCCCAAATGTTCGCTACGGCCCGAGCTATGCTGAACTGAAGCCAGGAGCTTCTTCCTGGTCTCCCATGTGGGTGCAGGGGCCCAAGCACTTGAGCCATCCTCCACTGCCCTCCCGGGCCACAGCAGAGAGCTGGACTGGAAGAGGAGCAACCGGGACTAGAACCCAGCGCCCATAAGGGATGCCAGTGCTGCAGGCAGAGGATTAACCAAGTGAGCCACAGCGCCAGCCCTTGCCTTCTTTCACTTAACATAATACTTTTGAGGCTTCTGCATGTTGTATCATGAATCAGTAACTTGTTCTGTTTTGTCACACAATATTACATTATAAGAATATACCAAATACAGTTTATTCACTCTTTATTTAACAGACATTAGGGTTTCCATTTTTAGCCATTATGAAATATTACTATAAACATTTGTGGCCAAGATTTTATGAACTTATGTTTTAAATCCCTGTAGCTATATACCTAACAATTACTGAGTCATATGGGAACTCTATATTTAACATTTTAGAGTCATTTGGCTTCTAAACTAGCAGCTGCACACTTTTAAATTTCCACTGACAATATTCTTGGATCTCAATTTCTCAACATTTTCACAAGCACTTGTTATTGTTTGTCTTTTTAGTGAAAGCCATCTTAAAGGATGTGAAGTTGTTTTGATTTGCTTTTGCTCAGTGATAGATGAACATCATCACATGTTTATTGATCATTTGCATTTATTCTTGGGGGGAGTTATCTACTAAAATTCTTTGCCAATTTTTAAAATAAGACTACATTTTTTGTTGTTCAGTTGCAGGAGTTTTTCACATTCTCAAATTCCTTATCAGATTTATGATTTACAAATATTTTCCTCCATTCTAAGGATTTTCTTTTTCACTTTCTTGATGATTTTTTTAATATAGAAAAGTTTTTCATTTTGATAAATTCAGATTTATCTATTTTTTTCTTTTGTTACTTGTGTATTTGGTGTCATATCAAAGAAACTGCTGCGCTGGGGCTGACACTGTGGCTTAGCAGATTAAGCCTGCTCCTGCAATGCTGGCTTCCCATATGGGCACTGGTTAGAGTCCTGGTTGCTCCACTTCTAATCCAGCTCCCTGCGCATGTGCCTGGAAAAGCAGTGGAAGATGTTCCAAGTGCTTGGGCCCCTGCACCCATGTGGAGACCCAGAAGAAGCTCCTGGCTCATGTTTTAGGCCTGGTCCAGTTCTAACCATTGCAGCCATTTGGGGAGTGAACCAGTGGGTGGAAAATCTCTTCTTTCTCTCCTCCTCTCTCTGTAAGTCTGCCTTTCAAATAAATAATAAATAAATTTCAAAAACAAAATTTAAAAAAAGAAGCTAGTGCCCATGCATAGTCATGAACATTTACACCTATATTTTATTCTAGGTGTTTTATAGGTTTAGCTAATATCTATTTGAGTCTTTCATCATTTTCTGTTAACTTTTTTTATATATTTTGAAGTAGGGATCAAAACTAATTATTTTGCATATGAATAGCCAGTTGTCCCAGAGCCATTTGTTGAAGAGCCTAATCTTTCTCCATTGAATTATCCAAGCATCCTTGTCAAAAATCAATCAGCTATAAATGTAAGGGATTAATTCTGGATTCACAGTTGTGTTTATTTATTTGAAAGAGAGAAACAGAGGTCTTCCATTCAGTGGCTCACTCCTCCAAATGCCTGCACTGGCCAGATGTCAACCTGTAAAAGACAGCAGGAATTCCACATGGATGGCAGAGACCCAAGTACTTGGGACATTACCTGCTGCTTCCCAGGGTGTAGATTAGCAGGAAACTGGAATCCGAAGCAGAGCCAGAACATGAATGCAGACACATTGCTATAGAATGTGGCTATTCGAAGGGGCATCTTAACTGCTCTACCCTCATACCTGCCTGCCCCTTCATAGATTTTTTTATGTCTAATCCTTGTGTATCATACTGCCTTGATTTCATTTTTGGTTTTTCATTACTAGTGAGTAGAAATGCCATGGAATATTCTATATATTTTGCCACCTTGCTGAACTTGATTAGTCATAATAAATTTTGGGATGTGGAGTCCACAGAATTTTGTGTATACAATATTATGCCATCTGTTAACAGAAGTAATTTATTTTTCAACCAATCTGGATACCATTTATTTCTGTTTATTTTCTAATTGCCCTGATTATAGCCTCTAATATGATGTTAAATAGAAGAGAGGCAAGTGGACAACTTTGTCTTTACATTTTCCTTTCTTATACAAGTCATCCTTGTAATATGTGTAATTCTTCAAGGGAAATTATTCCTTTCAAAAGAATACCAAACAACAAATTAAGAATAATTGCTAGTGGGGTAGGCACTGTGGTATAAGCAGGTAAAGCCACTGCCTGGAGTTCTAGCACCCCATAAGGGTTCCAGTTTGAGATCTCGCTGCTCCTCTTCCAGTCCAGCGCTCTGCTACGGCCTGGGAAAGCAGTGGAGGATGGCCCAAGTCCTTGGGCCCCTGCACCCACATGGGAGACCCAGAGGAAGCTTCTGGCTCCTGGCTTCGGATCAGCGCAGCTCAAGCTGTTGCGGCCATTTGGGAAGTGAACCAACGGAGGGAAGACCTTTCTCTCTCTCTCTCTCTCTCTCTCTCTCTCTCACTGTCTGTAACTCTACCTCTCAAGTAAATAAATAAAATCTTTAAAAAAAATTGAACAAACCATAAAAAGCTTCTGTGGTATCTCGTCCCACGCACAGGTAAAGCCACCCTCCTGAAAAGGCCCTGGAGGAGCTTCCTCCCCCATCATTCCTGGCTCCCTCTCCTCACTGCCTGCATTAGCCAAACCCTCCTTGAAGCCCCTCATGCTACTGTCCAGTTACCTTTCCAGCTGCCGGCTGTTTTCTCTCAAGAGGTATCCACAAGGTTCTTCTCACCTTTATCTTCTTCAGGACTTTGATCAAATGCTGTCCTTGTAGTGAGAACTTTCCAGAATGCCCTTGTTTACTCTCCACTCACTCTGCCTCCCTTCCATACTTTTCTTCTTAGCCTTTACTACTCTTAACTTACTGTATGTTCTTCTTACAGATCTTGTTTGCTATCACACTCATCCTTCTTAATATAAGACCCCAAGAAGGTAGATTATTTCATCTCTTTTCTGCTGTGTGCCCAGCATTGAGAACAGTGCCTGGCACATAACTTGCACTCAATGAAAAGTAAAGGATTAGCAAAACATTAAGCATAAAAGAGTTCAAGAGGTATCATCCCCATAGGATGGGAACAATTCAACACACACCAGACCTTGCAATCACACACGTTCTACATGTGTTGGGTACCACTGTGAAGCACAGGTATGTGAGGTTTCCCACGAAAGACATAAGCTTGAAGCCGTGTTGTACATTCATAAAAAGGCTTTGGTGTTAAAAGCTCTGTTACGGGAGCCCGAGGTGTGTGAGCTGGGATCAGCAGCACTCTACAAAACAATCAACTGAGGATCAAAGAATTTAAGAGTAACGTTGCACCCACTCAGTGTTATCGAAGATTCTGAAAACGACGCTTCTAAGTGGGCTGTCTCTGCAGGTGACAACACGGCCGCCTCTTCTCCGCGGTGTGCCCAGGCGCAAGGACAGGGTGACGCCTACGCAGCCAGGAGGAGCAGCACTTCTGTCAGTGCACGGCCCCACCTCCTCCCGGGAGCCCCAGCCGGCTCAGGTGTCCACGCGGGTGTCCTCGTGCCACGCCCTCGCCCTCCAAGCCACGCTCTTGGCCACAACCGCGGCGTTAGAACCCCGCGAGAGGGGAATGAGGGACGCGACCGAGGCAGCAGCGCCCACTGGGCTCCGCAGACCGCCAAGGCCCTGAGTTTAGGACGCTGCTGCGGAATGATGCCAATCTGCGCGTCCGCTACACGTGAGTGTGGGGTCTGTGACTGGGCTGCCACTCGTGCTAGGAATAAAACGAGCACCTGCTGGGAGCTAGTGTTCCCAACGACTCCACAGAGCGCTTCCAAACCACTTACAATCAGGAAGACCCCCATTAATACATCGTGGTACTTTTCATTTTTTCAACACCCCCCCTTTCAATGTGTGTTTTGAATGAATTATCTGGTTTTACTGCACAGCACCCTTTCAGATATAAGTAAATTGACCAATTCACAGGAGAATATATAGATGACGTATTGACTTGAATATCCTAGAATCAGAAAACAAACTGGCACTATTAACCCTTGCATCCCCCCGTTTTACATTATCCTCATATTCTTTGTGGCTTAGGAAATGTGCCTTTGTTTTTGACATAGAGATTATGTAAACAGAAACTCACAGTCTGCACTGATTTCCAGGAGCAGTGAGTTAGGAGTTGTCCTGATTGTTCTACCAAGCATTGCTTGAAAGAATTCTCCATCATGACTAAGCGAATGTTCTGCTGCACACCAGGAGCAGGCCACAAGAGGTTCCCATGTAAGAAGGGACTCTTGTGAGAATCACCTCTTGCAATCTAGTTGGCTTGCCCATACAAATTCAGTTTGACCCTCAACATCTAAACCAGAGTTTGCTTTCTCTTCTCAAGGCTACTTAGTACATACAACACGCATTAGTCAGCCTGCTTTCCTCTGGAGATTGTACTGGCCTTGTGGTAACTGTCCAAGGCTTTTCAAAATTAATTCAATAAATGCCAGAGAACCTACACTTCAAGGCTGATCTCCCCAAACACAGGCCTGATAGAAACAAATGTAGCCATTTATGCATAATGTGATAATGATCTAACAGAATTTTAATTTTATTTTTCAAATTTATTTTGCAAGAAACTAACAGATTCCTACAATTTGCAAACACATTGCTAGAGTCAGACCCTGCAACACTATGTGAGGTTTTACAGCGGTGAAGATGTATTTGAGAAAACCAGGAGTATAATATCACATGGTAGTGGAAATAGTGGTCATGAATGGAGGGAGTACTATGTGGGGAAAATATTGCGTAGGCCAGGACACACCCTGCTCTAATGAGCCACACAAAGGAGTGTGCCCTGTGACTTGGCAACCAGAAGCTATCTATAGATTTCACGCAAATGACTACCACATGTGATTTCTAGTTTAGAAATGCCAAAATGGAGGCCAAGTCTATGGCATAGCAGGTAAGCCGCCACCTGTGACACCAGCATCCCATATAGGTGCCAGTTCATGTCCCAGCTGCTCCACTTCCAATCCAACTCCCTGCTAATGGCTTTGGGAAAGCAGCAGGAAAAGGCTCAAGTGTATGGGCCCCTGCCACCCACATGGGAGAACCAGATGAAGCTCCTAGCTCCTGGCATCGACCTGGCCCAGCCTTGGTCTTTGCAGTCATCTGGGGAGTGAACCAGCAGATGGAAGCCCTCTCTCTCTCTCTCTTTCTCTCTCTCTCTCTCTTTGGAATGCTTAATTTCAAATAATAAATAAATGAATATTTGAAAAATCCATGCTTTCCTAGGCAAATGAAATTTTTTTAAAAATGTACTGTGGTCATAGTATAGAATCTGGATTTAGGCTTCAGTTTCTCTTGCTTGGTTATCAGGTTTTTGTCTTTTTTTTTTTTTCATTCTGTGGCAAATTATATTAAGAAAGCATCTCAAATTTTGGCCATTAGACACTTAGGGATCATGAAGTTATCGGAGTTGCTCTGAAACGTAAGAAAAGCGTTCTGATGAGCTTATAGGCCAGTTGCAGGCAGACTGAGCTGTCTTCTAGCCTAATGAAATCATCAAAGTTGGCAGAAGCCTCTGTAATACCTGATGGAATCATAGAAGTGACAGAATCCTGTATATTACCTGATTTTCTGCCTCCAGTCATCTTTCTGTGAATTAGATGAGCATGAAAACACACTATGATTACTGATGCAATAATCTAAGAATAAATTTATGATGACCTGTGTTAAAAAATAATTCAAAGGAATTATGTGAATAATCAATGAGCTTGTTCCTAATAAAATTTAGGAAAGAGATCAAAAATAGTATTTAAAATTATGGAATGGGGGTTGGGTGATCTGATAATCAAGTAACTTACTGGCATTCAACCATTTTCCAATTCTTATTATTTCTCCCAAAATAACTCTGTGGGATTGGAAAATTCTCTATAATGAAGGAATTGACATTAGCAACTAGTAATTGATATAGACAATTACTATTAGTACAATCATACTGGTACTAATTATACAATTAGTAAATAATATAGATAATATTTGAGCTCATCTGTGTTCCCCAGTTGCTTTTTTTTTTTTCAGATTTATTTATTTATTTATTTATTTATGTGAAAGTCAGAGTTCCAGAGAGAAAGGGAGAGACGGAGAAAGAAAGATCTTCCATCTGCTGCTTCACTACCCAAATGGCCACAACAGCCAGATCTGAGCAGGCCAAAGCCAGGAACAACTTCTGGGTTTGTCATGTGGGTGCAGGGGCCCAAGCACTTGGCCATCCTCCACTGATTTCCCAGACACATTAGCAGGAAGCTGGACTGGTAGTGGTGTAGCTGGAACTCGAACCAGCATCAGGATGGGATACTGACACTACAGATGATGGCTTAACCTGCTATACCAGCCCCCTGTGTCTGTTAGATTCACAAGGCTCATGCTCCATTTTCTCAGTTTTATGTGTCATTAGTACATCCATTTGGTAACTGATCCTTGAGGATTGGTGGTTGATATAAATTAGGGGGAAAATAGTATAAGTAAGAATTTTTGAAAATCAGAATGTAGACTTCAAAGTTGGCTATTGGGAAAACAATGAGAAAAAAATCTAAACCCAGGAAAGAAAGAACTATCAGATACTGTAGATTCTAAAAAGCAAATTCTCAAAACTGTGGGAAAATAATTATGAGGAAGATAAACCAAGAATAGAAAATACTTTGGTTGCAAGTAACAGAAAATAACTCATGCTACCTTAAAGAAAGTGTGTTTCCCAAGGGCAGTAAAGCGTCTGAGTTTCAGGAAAGCATTGTAGCTAAGAAATGAAGTTATTACAGACTTTGCAGTTCTCTTACTGTCTTTCTCACCTCTGATTTTTCTGAATGTCTTCTCAGTCAAGATAGTAGAGCATAGTTAATGCTCTTTATTTCAAGAGTTCATATCATCTTACCAAGTGACAAGTTCAGATGAAAGCTATAATTTCTTAATTTTAAGTGCACAATTCCCGGGATAGAAATGCTGGTGTATCCAACCTGAGACAGATTCCCCACTTCTCTTCCAGTGAAATACAATCAGGGAGTAATTTCTACAGATTATAAGCATGAACTGAGGTGAGTTGGATGTGTAAACCAAAAGACATCTATAATAAGGAAGTAGCAGAAATCATTCATGACTATTATACTTTTTTTTTTTTTTGACAGGCAGAGTGGACAGAGAGAGACAGAGAGAAAGGTTTTCCTTTTGCTGTTGGTTCACCCTCCAATGGCTGCCGCAGCAGGCACGCTGCACTGATCCAAAGGCAGGAGCCAGGTGCTTCTCCTGGTCTCCCATGGGGTGCAGGGCCCAAGCACTTGGGCCATCCTCCACTGCATCCCGGGCCACAGCAGAGAGCTGGCCTGGAAGAGGGGCAACCAGGACAGAATCCAGTGCCCCGACTGGGACTAGAACCCGGTGTGCCGGCGCCGCTAGGCGGAGGATTAGCCTATTGAGCCGTGATGCTGGCTCGACTATCATACCCTTTAAACATCTTCCCTACCTTTTTTATTGGACGCTAATTTGTGAAAACAACCCTTCCTGTATTTTAATGCAAAAATTATATTGCTCAGCCACCCCTGTGGTCAAGTGCAAGCATTTGGTCTAAGTCCTGCCAATCACACATTCTTGAAATAACTTGATTTTAAAGACAGATAACAAAAGAGGTCCTAAAGTAGTTAACAGTTTTTGGATAGATGATGATCCAGTAAGCAGAGGAGGTTGACCATTAAACCAGTTTGTGGCAGTGTTTTGATGTGGGAAATGGCAGGATACCACTTCCTCAGCTAGATCATTGGTTTGGCTACAAGTATTATTTGATAAATTTAATCATTTAAATAATTCTTTAACTCACTAATCTCCATTTTTGCTTAAGTCAACCATAGTGAATTCTGTTGTCTTCAACTAAGAATACTAAGGTCTCACAGAACATCATCCAAAGTTGGTAAAATGTAACAGAACAATTAGACTTGCCATGATGCCAGCTATGTTTGAGAAAGTGTATCAGTGGATTTATTTTAAACATTTCAGGGAATTGTTTCATTGTGAAAAATTCAGAAAAGCAACAACATATTTCTCAATGACATGAGTGCCTTACCTAAGAAACTCATTATGTTTATTTTTCTATATTTTCTTTTAGAGATAGATTCCATTCATTCTTCATAACATCTATGCCATATTTTGAGTAACACTCCATCATACCACATTATGGTGGCAGAAGAAATCAGAACATTTGGGGTAAGGAGTAAGTGCCACTTGAGTAACTAAATGACTTTGGTGTTGCAAGTTCAATATATTTGAGGAAGGAGACATTGGTTCCTCTATCTCAACTACGCAATGGAAGAGAACTAATAAGCTGAGACCCAAGAGTTCTGGCACTATACTTTTCCCTTTGTGTATGTGTAATTATAAAGAGTTTGAAGGAAATCTGAGACTGCATACTATACGAAATGATGAAGTCAGTGGTTATACTGGAGATAATCTAGATTACAGGGTTTTGAAGACATAGCAATGCTCTTGACACACTCTCTCCATGTTTTCCTCAGGAAAGGTAATATTCTGGACCACTACTCTTAATCCTTTACCCCAGCAAGACCTAAATGCTACATTTTTCTGCATCACACACCCAAATTAGTAGAGAATTGAATCATATAAAAAGCCAGGACTGTAAGATAAAATGTGGTTCAGGAAATTGCCTAAAACTACTGAGACCAGAATCTTAATCTTCGGCACAATTGGTTGCAAGTGAGTTCTAACCCATTGTGTTGACAATCAGACTTGTATCAGACAAATATCATTTTCCTATTAACTGGTTCAGGGGGATGATAGAGATGCTTCAGATAAAGGAGCTGAAACCTAGGGTAGTAAATTTAAAACCAAATAGACAGAAGGAAGCAGGGACATAAGGGATTCCCAGAGACTACAGCTCTTTTTTCAGAGCTAGAGTTCTCTGTGTGTGTGTCCTTCTGACCCAGCTTATAAATAAATCACTAGACATACATCACTAAAAGTTACCTTTAAAAAAAAATGAAAAGAAATCCTGGGGTCAGGGTTGTGGCGAAATGGATAAAGCTTCTGCATGCAACTCCGTCGTCTTATCTGGATGCTGGTTTGAGTTCCCGCTGCTCCACTTCCCTTCCAGCTCCCTGTTAATGGGGCTGGGAAAGCAGTGGAAGATGGCGCAAGTATTTAGGCCCCTGTACTGTCTTGGGAGACATGGATGAAGCTCCTGGCTCCTGGCTTTGGTCTGGGTTGTGTCCATTTGGGTAGTGAACCAAAAGATGGAAGATTTCTCTCTCTCTCTCTCTCTCTTCTCTCTTCTCTCTCCTCTCTTTCTGTAACTCTGCCTATCAAAAACATAAAATAAATGTTTTTAAAAAATAAATAATTCCAAGTCCTTTCATGGCTGTTCCCTTCTCCCATCATCTTGGCTTCCCTACAGTTTTTGGTAATTTATAGGATAGAACAAGAGTATTCACGGAGACCTTTGTGGTTCAGAAGCACAGAAGTTATACTCCCCCAAGCACTGTCTGGCACCTGATTTATAACTCTCTTAAAATATGATACAGATTTAGCAATTGATTGTGACATTCTTTTCTTATAGGCTATCCAAGTAATGATTGGTCTGATCAATTTTGCTCTAGGATATATCTGGATACGTTTATTTATCAGGCAATATACTTCATTTTCATTGACCTACATCCCTCTAACCTTGTTTTCAGGATACCCATTCTGGGCATCCTTAATTGTGAGTAAAGCTTCTTGCTGGTGATTATTTATTCTTTTACTCAATATATTTAGCAACTTCTGTAACCTGTACAGTCCATGAAAATATATAATTCTTACTGCAATGAATTCATTCTTGTATGCTTGAAAATATTTTCTATGATAAATGTATTTATAAAATTCTTCCATACAAAGAATCTGTTTAGTTGAGTGAATGTTGGGTCCAAAGGATGGTGAGATTCCTAAGGGTAATAATCAACATGATGAAGAGACAAACTACACAATGGGAAAATATATTTACAAACCCTACATCTAATAAGGGGTTGACATTCAAAATATATAAGGAACTTTAAAAATGCAATAGCAAGAAAACAACAAACCTGATTTTAATGGCACAAATTTTGACCTACCTCTCCTTATTCCCTTTCCCTCCCCATCCTTGCTCATGGTAACAACTGTTTCATCTTCTGTCTCTGTGTATTTGAGTCCTTGTTATTCCATATATAAGTGAAATCATCCAATAGTTTTCCTTCTGTGTGTGGCTTATCTCACTTAGTATAATATCCAGATCCATCCATGTTGTATCAAATGGATCTCTTTTTTTTAACTTTTTTTAATGAATATAAATTTCCAAAGTACGATTTATGGATTACAATGGTTCCCCGCCATAACTTCCCTCCCACCCACAACTCTCCCAACTCCTGCTCCCTCTCCCCTTCCATTCACATCAAGATTCATTTTCAATTTTCTTTATATACAGAAGATCAGTTTAGCATATATTAAGTAAAGATTTCAACAGTTTGCACCCACACAGAAACACAAAGTGAAAAATACTGTTTGAGTACTAGTTATAGCATTAAATCACAATGTACAGCACATTTAGGACAGAGATCTTACATGGGGAGTAAGTGCACAGTGACTCATGTTGAATTAACAATTTGACACTCTTGTTTATGGCGTCAGTAATCACCCTAGGCTGAGTCATGAGTTGCCAAGGCTATGGAAGCCTTTTGAGTTCACCAACTCTGATCATATTTAGACAAGGTCATTGTCAAAGTGGAGGTTCTCTCCTCTCTTCAGAGAAAGGTACCTCCTTCTTTGATGACCTGTTCTTTCCACTGGGATCTCACTCAGAGAGATCTTTCATTTAGGTCATTTTTATTTTTATTTTTTTATTTTTTTTTGCCAGAGTGTCTTGGCTTTCCATTCCTGAAATACTCTCATGGGCTTTTCAGCCAGATCCGAATGCCTTAAGGGCTGATCTGAGGCCAGAATGCTGTTTAGGATATCTGCCATTCTATGAGTCTGCTGTGTATCCCACTCAAATGGATCTCTTTTTTAAGACCGAATATTATTACATTATATTCATAATTTAATCTATATACCACAATTCCTTTATCCATTTATGGATTCAATAAGAACATAGCCAGTGAGACCAGATGTGTTATTCCATTCCAAATACAAGTTTCATACTATTCCAGTAATGGTTCCCTACTGCATTTATTACTGAGTGATGAAACTACAATAGGAATGTGAATATTTCAGCCAAATTTCTCTTAAACTGGGCTGGCGCCTTGGCTCACTTGGTTAATCCTCTGCCTGCAGCACTGGCATCCCATGTGGGCATCAGGTTCTAGTCCCAGCTGCTCCTCTTCCAGTCCAGCTCTCTGCTGTGGCCCAGGAGGGCAGTGAAGGATGGCCCAAGTGCTTGGGCGCCTGCACCCGCGTGGAAGACCAGGAGGAAGCACCTGGCTCCTGGCTGCGGATCGGCATAGCTCCGGCCGTAGCAGCCATTTGGGGGGTGAACCAATGGAAGGAAGACCTTTCTCTCTGTCTCTCTCTCTCACTGTCTAACTCTATGTGTCAAATAAAAAAAATTAAATTTCTCATAAATTGCAATTGTTCTTTGGATGGGCTTAAAGAATATTATAGAAAATCTGGGAATTATTTCTTAGGTGATAATGAAAAGATACTTACATATACTTCCTTTTGTTCTCAGTATGTTATATCAGGAATCTTTGCAATAGAAGCGGAGAAGAAGCGTTACCCAATATTGGTAAGTCAGAATGATTGGAACAATTTGAGAGAAAATATTTGATTTGTAAAAACCAAGAGTATCAGTAAGGAGGAGATATTATCATTTCTTCTTGCATTTCAGCATTTCAACCTGGGATTGCTTTCTTTTCAGCTGAGAATTTTCTCTAAGTATTTCTTTTAGCACAATCATGCTGACATTAAATTGTCTCAGCTTTTGTTAGTTTGAAAACAGCCTTATACTGGCTTTATTCTGAAAGATTCTTAAGCTGTTTGTGGAATACTAGTTCAGCAATTATTTTATTTTACTTGAGAACTTTAAAATTTCATTCTCTCATGTTCTGACTACAATCTTTATCATGTGAAATGTCTCTAAGTCTTATTTTGCTCATGCTAGTGTATTGTGACTTTTTTCTCATACCACTTTTACCAATTTCTCCTTGCCTTTAGTTTTCAACAGATTTACTATGAAATAACTAGATATGGTTTACTTTATGTTATTTGGGATTTACCAATGATATGTGTTTATATGGATTAAATATCTAGATTGATGTTTTTCATCCATCTGGGAAAATTGTTAGTCATTTTCTCTTCAAATGCTGCTTTTGCAAGATTACTTTTCCTTTCTACTTCCAGAACTCCAGAATCCAGAATTCTATAATAATTCATAATTCTCTGAATTATTTCTTCATTTTTGCTCCATTTTTCTGCTTTCTTAAAAATATTAATAATAGTTGTTTTAAAGTCCCTGGAAGTTTGAAATCCAGTAATTGGATCACTTAATAAATTGTTCTATTGGGTTTTTTCCCCTAGGATTTTTTTAATATGACTCTGTAGTTTAAATGTCTAGTAATTTTTCTAAAGATTTTATTTTATTTATTTGAGAGAGTTACAAAGAGAGGTAGAGCCAGAGAGAGAGGTCTTCCATCTGCTGGTTTACTCCCCAAATAACCACAACAGCCAGAGCTGAGCTGACCTGAAGCCATGATCCAGGAGCTTCTTCTGGGTCTCCCACATGTGTGCTGGAGCCCAAGGATTTGGGCCATCTTCTGCTTTCCCAGGCTATAGCAGAGATCTGGATTGGAAGTGGAGCAGCCAAGACTCGAACTGGCACCCATATGGGATGGCAGATGCTGGTGCTGCAGGCCGGGGCTTTAACCCTCTGCGCCACAGTGCCCCCCCGCAATGTCTAGTAATTTTTTATTGAGTGCCAGAAGTTATGTATCAAAAAGTATAGCAATGTTAGCTAATGCCTAGTTCTTCCATAGAGGGTTCACCCAGCCCTCTCTCATAAGTTTGTTTACTGTGGCATTGCTTTCTATTCTTTATTGATTCTTTCAGTTTTTTCTTTGCTATTTTAAAGCTTCCACAGATTGATGCTTTATTAGATTAGTTGCATCTCTGACAGTTTGTAATAATTTCAAGATTATTCAGATAAAATATTTTGAAATTTCCAGTGTTTTATTTCAAAAAGTACTACTGTAGTACTTTTGAACTAACCAGTGTTTCCTGAACCATTAAAGAAGTTAAAACATTATTACCAGTGTTCTAACCAAGCAATTTATGCAATGATGACCTCAACAAAAAAAATTCCACCAAATGCTTATTACATTAGCCTTAAAATTTTCAATAACAGAAAAAAAACAATAAATACTTCCTACCTTATATAATGAAACCCTGAAGACAAAACCAGACAAAGACATTAAAAGAAAGACAAATTAAACTCTAATATCATGAACACATTAACATAGAGTTGTCCCCCTATATACATGGGCCCATATTCATGGATTCTGCACACAATGGAATGAAAAATATTCCAAAAAGTATCCAAGCTAAACATATGCAGACTTTTCTGCTGTTATTATGACCTGAATAATATAGTATAATAACTATTCTACATACTACTTGCATTATGTTAAGTATTGTAATCTAATGATGGTTTAAAATATATAGGAGATTTGCATAAGTACTATGAAATACTATGCCATTTAAATAAAAAATCTAAACAACTGCAGATTTTTATATCAATCACATATGGATACTGAGGAATGACTAAGCAAAAATTCTAAATAAAATTTGAGAAAATAAAACCAATTGTTATATAAAGAAGAAGATATAACATAAAAAGTCATGTTTATTGAAGAAATGTAAGCTTGATGTAACATTTAAAATTTTTGAAGTAATTTATAGTAACAAAGAAAGAAAGCATATAAACATCTCAGTAACACCTGAAAGTACATTTGTTGAAATTTAACATCACTGCTCCAAGATGGCAGAATAAGGAAGGAGCTCACTGATAGTCCAGGAAAAGATAGTTTAATAAAAGTGGAGATAGTTCAGTCTTAGGGAAGAGTTGGGGAAAAAACTGCAAAGGAAACTCTCCCAGAATTAGAAGGACACGGTGAATCTAATGGAGGACACGGGCACCCATGGCTCCTGAGCCCAGCTGCTTATAGTCTTCTCCTATGCACCAGTGTTGGGAAGAGAGGTGAGGCGAAGCCACAGTAGCCCGAGACACTGGCAGAAAAGTGGCAGGAAGAGCCTAGAGGGAACGAGGCTTGAAGCCCCATGGGGGAAAGTACACCAGCCTAACTAGAGGAGAGAAAAAATAAATAAAAGGGATGGTATGGACACAATTCTCTCTCCACACACCTTACAAAGGCATGCAAGACAATAGAGCAGGCACCATATGGAAATATATAACAGCTGTGCCAGCTCGGGGCTGCACCTGCCCAGAGCCAAACAAAAAAACCTGACTCTGGTTGGGAGCAATTACAGGAGACAAAGACCTAGTGAATGTGTGGAGCTTATGAACCAGGACTGTGGAAAAAAAAAAAAAAAAACTGAGGGTGTGTGGGAGAACTCATGGTGTGACTGAGACGTGAGTAGTCTTTGTGGGAGATGCCACAAAGTTGGGCAGCCTTGGATACCTGGTGAGAGATATTGCAGGAGGATCTAAGCTTACACTGAGAACTGCACAGATCCTTTGTGTGGTCCTTGGGACAGAGCAGATGAATATTATACCCACTGGGGCTAGTGCTCAGGCACTGATTGCCACCAAGGAGAAGCGCTCAGCTGAGCAGAATTACTTCCCTTCTGAATAAAAAAAAAAAAGAGAGAGAGAGATTTACCACACCAAACCTGGGTGTGTCACCTTGGGCAAACCCTTAACCCTGAAGAACTGAACAGAGCTCTCTGGCCACACCCACCACAAGCCTCTAGAGATTCACCAAAAGCAGACAGTCCACTTAATCTAGAGTCATAGTATAATGAGAAAAGCCACCACAGTGAAAAAAAAAAAAAGAAGAAACCAAAATTATATCCACAATGCCAAACAACAAACTCAGAAACCAAGGAAACAAGAAGAATGAAGACATTATGACGCCCCCAAATGAACATGACACTCCAATACAAGATTATGAAGATGATGAGATAGAAGAAATACAAGCTACAGAATTCAAAAAATTTATGATAAGAACATTTAGAAACTATCAAAAACAAATGCATAAATATCAGGCAGTAAGAATAGAAGAAAGGGACAAATGAGCAACAAAATAATGAACAATTTAAAAATGACAGAGTAAGTCTACCTACGAATAATGGCTTTAAATATAAATGAATTATATTATCCAATCAAAAAATGTAGGGTGGTCAAATGCCTAAACCAAAAAGAAAAAAGATTCCAAATAGACAACTTAAGCACTAAGTTAACAGAAATAAGGAAATCAATAAAGATCAGAGGAGACACATATGAGAGACTAGAAAAACAATAAAAGGTCAACAGAACTAAGGTTGGTTTTTTGAAAAGATAAACAAAGTTGACAAATCTTTATCTAGAGTTAAAAAAAAAGCAGAAAAGAAACAATTAAAATTTGAAGTCAAGGAGGAAACAAACTGATCCCACAGAAATACAGAGAATCATGAGAGACAATATACAATTACATGTCAACAAATTGAGTAACCTAGAAAAAATGCACAAATCCCTATAAATGTCAAAGTGTCGAAAAGATATACCATTCTTGGGTGTTTCTTTAAAGTTAATTAACTTTCTCAACAACAAAAAAAAAAGTGAAATTAACTTCGAGATGCAATGACTTTGAATAGCACTTGTCTCAACTGTTGAGAAAGTTTTTTTTCTTTTTTTATCCTTTTTTTCTTTTTTCATACAAATTGATGAATTCTTTACTTGCTATAATCTTCTGTGCACGAAGTTAATTGAAAATAGATCTTAGTATTAAATGTGCCGTTCCCTTGCCCGCAAAGGAACGATGATACTCACAGCTGATCGGTCTTCTGTAGACTTTTATTGAGAAAATAACAGCGACAGAGAAAACATGAAAGAGGAAGAAAGGAGAGAGAAAAAAGCCCCCCCCCTTCCTGGGCACACAGCTTATATACGAAATTCAACCAATCGCAAGCAGGCTCTAGTCCATGCACGGAACACTCCAATCCGCTGCTTGTTCATGCGGTGTGCACGCGTCCTCGGGCCAATCAGATGAAGTGTCATGCAGCAGGCAGGCTCACTGCACAGTCCTTGGCGCCATCTTGTTGTTTACGAGGCAGGCTCAACTTCTCTAGAAAGTCCTGACCGCTGGAAAGCATTGCCCTAACCGAAACTAGCAACATCCGCCTTGCAATAAAGACACAACGACAGCTATCAGACCAAACCCTGACATGGGGACCCCATGACTGGCCAGCCCATGGGGCCCCACAAAATAAGACTGGGAATAGGAGAAGGAGGAAGAAGAGGGGTGAGAGTATGGGTTGGAAAGCAGGCACAGTGGGATTAATCACTATATTCCTAAAGTTGTGCTTATGAAATTCATGAAGTAGAGCCGGTGCTATGGTGCAGTGGGTAAACGCCCTGGCCTGTAGCACTGGCATCTCATATGGGCGCCAGTTTGAAACCTGGCTGCTCCACTTCCGATCCAGCTGTCTGCTATGGCCTGGGAAAGCAATAGAAGATGGCCCAAGCCTTTGAACCCCTGCACCCATGTGGGAGACCCGGAAGAAGCTCCTGGCTCCTGGCTTTGGATCAGTACAGCTCCAGCCATTGCAGCTATTTGGGGAGTGAACCAGCGGGTGGAAGACCCCCCTCTCTCTCTGCCTCTCCTCTCTCTGTGTAACTCTGACTTTAAAATAAATAAATAAATCTTTAAAAAAAGAAATGCATGAAGTTGTATTTCTTAAATAAAAGGTTTCTTTGGGGAAAAAAACTGAATCATGAAGAAATAGAAATCTGAACAGATTGATAGTAAAAAGCAATTAGGTAAGAAAAGGAAACAAAACACAACAAAATCAGGAAGAAAGAAATAAATTGTGGAGCTGGTGCTATAGCATAGCAGGTAAAGCTGACGCCTGAGGTGCCAGCATCCCATATGGCCAGTACTGGTTCAAGTCCCGGCTGCTCCACTTAGAATCCTGCTCTCTGCTATGGCCTGGGAAAGCAGTAGAAGATGGCCAGAGGAAGCTCCTGTCCCCTGGCTTCGGATCAGCACAGCTCTGGCCATTGTGGCCAGTGGAGAGTGAACCAGCAGATGGAAGACTTCTCTCTCTCTCTGCTTCTGCCCCTCTGCCTTTCAAATAAGTAAATACATCTTTAAAAAAAAAAAAGGAAAGAAATTGTCTGTTTCCAGATGACATTATTTTGTATGTGAAAACTCTGAAGACTTCACAAAAAAAAACCTGTTAGAATTAATCAGGAAATTCAATAAAGTTGAAGGATAACCCAAAAAAGTAGAAAATGAAATGCATTTCTATAAACTGCCAAAAACTATCTGAAGAAAAACACACATACACACACAAATTCCACTTATGACAGCATAAAAAATACATAGTAATAAATGTAACCAAGCAGGTTAAAGATCTGTTCACTGAAAACTATAAAACATCGATGAAGGAAACTGAAGAAAACGCCAGTTGAAAAGATATTCCATGTTGTCATGGACTGGAAAGATAAATAATCTTCATTTTTTTAAATTTTTATTTGAAATACAGAGACAGATCTTCCATCTGCTAGTTCACTCCTCAAATGCCTGCAGCAGAATAGATAAATACATCAAGGGAACAGAAAAGAGACCCCAGAAATAGACCTACACAAATCAACTAATCTGACAAAGGAGCAAAGGCGATGCCATGGATTTAAGAGAGTATTTTCAACAGATAGTGCTGCAACAACTGAACAACCACATGCAAAAAAAAAAAAAAAGAATCTAAATATACCTTATAACCTTCATGAAACTCAAAAAGTATCATAGACATAAGTGTAAAATGGAATTTCTGGCTCCTGAGCAAAGCCTGGTTATTGTGGGTATGTTGGTGACTGAACCAGCAGACAGAAGATTTCCCCTCTCTCTTTCTCTCTCCCTTTCCATCTCCCTCTCCCTGTCCTTTTCTACCCCCCTCCTTGTGTTCCTCCTTCCCTGTCACTCTGCCTTTCAAATTAGTTTGTAAATCATGAAATTTCTTTTTAAAAGTCATTATGTTGTATACCTTAAGTATGCACAATGAAAAAGTAATATACTCAAGCTCATTAATAATCAGGGAAATGAAAATTAAAACCACAATGAAATACTCCAATAAACTGACCAGAATAATTAGCTTATTTAAGAGAATATGAAAAAACTATTAGTAGAAATTTAAGTTACTATAACAACTTTGGAAGGTTTTTTGCAAGTTTCTTCCAGGGTTAAATACATATATAATCTATGACTCCTTAATTAAATGCACTTGTCTATCTTATGAAAGAAAATACATTTTTCATAATGGTCAAAACTGGAAATAACCCAAATGTCCATTAACAGGAGAATAGACTGATAAATTTCAACATACTGATAGAATGGAATATAATATAACAGTGAAAATGAACAAACTAAAATGTATGTAACAATGTATGTATGTAACAATATTGATGAATACAAACATGATTCTGAGCAAAAGTAACAAAACACACAAAAATACATATTTCATAATTCCATTTATATAAAGGCAAAACCAATCAGTGGTACTAGAAGTCAGCTAGTGGTTTGTCTTATGGAAGAGGATGGGATAGGAGGTGGAGAGAGACACACATGACTTTGAGGTTCTTAGTTATGTGTGACCTCTTGATATAGGTGTTGGCAACATGAACCTTTTCACTTGATGATAGTTCTCCAAGCTGCATACTTTTAAGTTGTGTATTCTTTACTATGCAGTTATACATAAAGGTTTTTTTTTTTTTAATATTCCCATATGATTTACCATTTTGGAATAAAGAGGTAAAATAATTGATCATTGTAGTAGATTCAGAAAAACAATTCAAAGGACCAGCATTGTTGTGCAATGAGTTAGCCCTTGCCTAGGATGCCAGGTATCCCATATGAGCTCCAGTTCAAGCCCTAGCTGCTCCACTTCCAACCCAGCTCCCTGCAAATGCACCTTAGACAGCAGCAGAACATGGCTCAGCTAGTTGAGCCCCTGCCACCCATGTGGGAGACTTGGATGAAGCTCCTGGCTGCTGGCTTCAGCCTGGCCCAGCTACAGCCATTTTAGTCATTGAGAATTTGAGGAATGACTCAACAGATGAAAGATATTCTCTCTCTCTCTCTCTCTCTCTCTCTCTCTGTAACTCTGCCTTTCAAATAAACAAATCTTAAAAAAAAAGAAAAACAATTCAATGAAATTCATACCCATTTATGGTAAAAGCTATTAGAAATGTTATTTTGCTGATTAGGGGTACCTGTCAAAAACTTACAGCAAACATCATACTTGATATCATAAGTTTAGAATCCACCCCATTAAAATTAAGCGTAAAACAAGAATAAAAGCCTTCATTGCTTTTATTCAATATAGTATCATTTGACAACATGGTTAATGGAATAAGGCAAGAAAAATGCTTGGAAGACAAATGTGGAGAAGGCAGGGCCAATGCTCATTGTTTTAGGATGATGTGCATGGTTCTTCCAGGGTCTTGGAAAAGGCCTCTGCATTTCAGAAACTCAGGGATCCAAGTGCCTTCACCTTCATGGTCTGTGATGTTAGTATTTATTACATTCTACTCACACTTACTGCCATCTTTTTTTTTCTTTTCCACTAGTCTAGCACTTTATTGTTTGATTCTGGAAAAATAATCAATTATAACAAAGCATTTTTATGAATCTTGATATGAATGGAAGGGGAGAGAGAGCGGGAAAGGGGAGGGTTGCGGGTGGGAGGGAAGTCATGGGGGGGGAGCCAATGTAGTCCATAAGCTATACTTTGGAAATCTAAATTCATTAAATAAAAGTTAAAAAAAAATTTTAAAGATTTATTCTATTCATTTGAAATGTAGAGTTACAGAGAGAGAGAGGTCCTCTATCCATTGGTTCACTCCCCAGATGGCTGCCGAGACCAGAGGCCAGGCCAAAGTCAGGATCCTCTTCCAAATCTCCCACATCCTGCAAGGGCCCAAGCACTTGGACTATCCTCTGCTACTTTCCCAGGCTCACTACCAGGGAGCTGGATCAGAAGTGGAGCAGCCAGGACCTGAACCAGTACCCAAGATGCCCATGTCACAGGCAGAGGCTTTATCCGTTTTGTCACAACACTGACCCCAACAAACCATGTTTAACATACTTGTTAGTAATACAGACAGATAGCTTCATGCCAACTTGTTTGTTCTACATGTAACTAATTGACATTTTGTATCTGTTCCAGTTGGAGTATACCATAAGGATGAGCATTAACAGTGTGGCCCTTTCAGTGGCTGGTCAACTTATAATTTTATTTGAAATTACATTATTTTTAGTGAAACATGTAAAGATTCAGTGGTCACATGTAAGTACAATGCTTTATGATATTTTTTACATAGGCTTATACTTTAAATTGGTGTTAAACAAATGTGAAAGTTATGAATATTAATTCACATTTGTCATGACCACAAATATTATCCAAACCACTAAATAGGTCTTTAAACCGGTGACCACAAAAAATAAATCTTCAAGATATCAACTAAAGATTATTACACAAAATAAAATAACTGATGTTTAGATTATTATTATTTTTTTTTGACAGGCAGAGTGGACAGTGAGAGAGAGAGACAGAGAGAGAAAGGTCTTCCTTTTGCCGTTGGTTCACCCTCCAATGGCCGCCGCTGCAGCCGGCGCACCGCGCTGATCCTGGCAGGAGCCAGGAGCCAGGTGCTTTTCCTGGTCTCCCATGGGGTGCAGGGCCCAAGCACCTGGGCCATCCTCCACTGCACTCCCTGGCCATAGCAGAGAGCTGGCCTGGAAGAGGGGCAACCGGGACAGAATCCGGCGCCCCAACCGGGACTAGAACCCGGTGTGCCGGCGCCGCAAGGTGGAGGATTAGCCTATTGAGTGATGTTTAGATTATTAAGACTCAGATGATGTATACTGCTAAAGACACACCAAAAAACTTAAATAAAATAGATATCTCTTCAAAACAAGTATAACTCAGAAGTTGGCAGGCTCTCTGTACTAGATATACTCTAGTTATCTATGTCTCCCCAATACCTATTACAGTTCTTGGCACTAAATGGACTTCTAATAAGTTTATTGAATTAACAAATACCTTTTATTTATGCTGTCCCTCTGACAGTAGTCTCACATTTAGCATATAAAACACTCCTAGAATCATTAATGGACAAGTAAGTCCCAAGTCCCCTAATGTGCCATAAATTCCCTCTTTCTTGAGGTGTCTGATTTTAACTAAATACTGTATGTTGGATATGGAAATAAAGGTGAGTATTTTGGCCATTGGCTAAATGTTTTCAAGGCTCCTTGTTTCTGAAGGTAATAGGAGACTAGATATACTAGAGAGATACATTAACACTTGAAGATTTCAAAGACCAAATTAAATAAGGGCAAAAAAGAGAAGGCTAATTTTTCTTCAACAGATTTTAAGCATGATAGCTTAAATTGGGGCAGATATTCACAGTTCAGGATTTTTAGTATCATAAGCATCATTGACATTTTTGTCATCTTAGGGTTACATTTCATATTGTATGACACCATTCAGGTCTCCTGCCAGAAGTGGAGAAATTTATATGGAAAACAATTTGGCAATATTCACCACAAATCAATTTTCTTGAAATCCATTTTAATCGTCCAAACAAATTAAGGGTCAAATAAACCAAAAATGTGTAGCAAATTTAAATAACATTGTATATCTATTTGAATATTATATAAATATTAAACAATATAACATTACATATGAAAATAATGTGCATAATTTAAATGAAAAAATGAGATATGCCATTTAATTACCAATAACAATGCTATAGAAAAACTCATATGAGAAAACAGAAATCACAATTTTGAACTCCGTCAGAATGAGAAAGGAAGGCATCCAAGTTCCACAAAGGATGACCAAGTTTCATTTTCTTCTACTCTTAGATGAAAATGCCAAGGCTATGTGCCGTAAGGAGTTGTTGCATGGATTCAATGAAATAATGCACATAAAACATTGAGCACAAATGCCTAATCATCTACTGAGTGCTGAATTAGTGTCAGTATACTAGGCAAATTTTCCTTTTCTATTTCCAAACATTTTGCATTTTTATTACCTTTATATTGCTAAAAATTCTAGGTTGTGAAGGTCTTTGTATCTCTTCTTGCACTTAGCAAAGCGGAATCATTCTCTCAGTCTATTTGTGGATGTTCTCGTTAGTAGAGTTGATCCTGGCAAAGAAAGTGGCCAAATGGGGGATCAAAACAATTGACAATACAAGCTACAACATATAATGTGAGTATTCATTTCTCTGGCTAATTAGCAAGTGTTGCATTCTGTTATGAACCTATGCTCGGGGATTAATATTTCAGGGGGAATTTTTTGCCCTTAGTGTTTCATCTAAATACATACGGGCTGCAAAAGTCAGGATTACATTCATCTGTATACAAATGAAGATAAACAGTTATTTACTGCTTGTTGAATTCTTTATTGAGTGAAGAGTTAAGCTTGTGATTATAAAGTAAGTTTAAAATATATCACTGTAAAAATTAAAAGAAAAATAAGAAAGGAAGGATGAGGGAGGGTAGGTTTGAGGGATGGAGGGAAGGTAGAGTAGGAACTATCATTATTCTCTTTAGCAGGGAGTTGGATCGGAAGTGGAGCAGCTGGGGCTTGAACCAGAGCCCATATGGGGTGCCGGCACTGCAGGCCAGGGCTTTAACCTGCTGTGCCATAGTGCCAGCTCCTCTCTCTTTTTTTTTTTTTTTAATTTTTTATTTATTTATTTGACAGGTAGAGTTACAGACAGTGAGAGAGAAAGGTCTTCCTTCCATTGGTTCACTCCCCAAGTGGCCTCTATGGCCAGAGCTGCGCCAATTCGAAGCCAGGAGCCAGGTGCTTCTTCCCAGTCTCCCAAGTGGCTGCAGGGACCCAAGCACTTGGGCCTTCTTCCACTGCCTTCCCGGGCCACAGCAGAGAGCTGGACTGGAAGAGGAGCAACCGGGACTAGATCCGGCGTCCATATGGGACGCCAGCACCACAGGCGGAGGATTAACCTAGTGTGCCACGGTGCCGGCCCCGCCAGCTCCTCTCTTAAAACTATATTATGAAATACATCAAATTTGTTTTTATATAAAATAAAATTTGTTTTATATAAAAATATAAACAGCTCTTCCCAGTTAAAATTTAAGAACTAAAAGTGTGTATATTCAAAGATTCATGAGAAAATGCAGTAGTAAATATATCATTTTCTGACTCAGGTCTATTTCATTTGGAGACTCACTGGGCCTGTGACCTCTAATTATCAAGTAACATTGAGATCCCTGACACCTGGAAACCTTGGAGTAGACGAAAATTAAAACATGTTGTGAAGGGGGATGGAATAGGTCCCCTTATCGACACTGCTGGCCCTAAATGAAACCATATTTCCTTATTCCAAGCATCTCCCAGGACCAGGCCAACTGCAGTATTACATTCAAAAGCATTCACACCTAACTGAAAGTAGGTCAACTATTGATCTGATAGGAGAAAGGCAATGAGAATAAAAATTGCAAATTGTGCAAGGGAATGAAGGTGGATTGGTAGTTGGAAAAGAAGGAGTAAACCCAGATTATTCAGCATTTACCAAACTCTACCCAGCACTTTGGGAATATAAGTGATAGGTATTAAAATAATCTGAAATGAAAGTAATATTATCAAAGGGATATTTAGCATGTGACAAAAAAATTCAGTAATGAAAATTGAGATTTAGTTAATTTAGATACCCTCAGTGACCAAATGATCAGGTTCTCAAAGTTCCATATTCTCTGGATATTTTTTATCTACACATTTTGGGTAAAGAAAGTTAATTTGGCTGTGTAAATAAAGATGTAGTCTCAGGACACCAAGAAAAAGAATGAAACAATGGAGACCCAACTCAAGAAAATGTGAATTCTTTAATTTTTAAAATTTCATGATCAGAGGAAAGTCTGAAGAGAAGGAGTTTGATGAGGCTAGCACACTGTGTCTGAGGAGATGAGTGAGGAGCCGAATGCTGTGCTGGTGTCTACACTCTCATGTGTTCAGTGATGCCTGTGCAAGTGAAAATCATGAAATGGAGAAAGGAAGACAGCATTGAAATATGTTTAGGTAAACATATCAAAAGAATTCTCTGTTTCCATCTGGAAGTAACCCTCAACTTTCTGGCAAGGGCAAACGAGCAGTGGTGCACGAGAAGAGAAAATAGAACAAGGATTGGATGATAAATTCCGTTTGGCATTTATTTTACTTGAGGCATTCTGGAGTCAAAACACTGAGAAATTGGGAATCTGTACATTTAGCTCCATGGAGAGGACTGGTGTTCATCTTTGGAAGCTGTACATGTATACGTTGTCAAATAACTGTAAGCAGAAAGTGGTATTGCCCATGAGCAGGTAGAGAACCACAGTGGGGAAAAAATCAAGGCACATAAGTGTGACACAAATGGCATAAGAAAATGAAATTAACGCTTGGGACCAAGTTCGTGAGCCTGGGTAGTAATATCCAAGTAGTAAAGTGGTCCCAGTTTAGGTAAATGCACTCAATCAGAAACAGAACTCATGGTCCTAGTCCAAGGCAAATCAAACAACATTTACACAACAGCAAACTACTAGGCCCTGACTTTCTAAGTCTTAACCCTCTTCTGAAGTTCCTGAGGTAGGCTGGCTTATGGGAAGGAGAGAACCAATAGAAAGTGGAATGTTAGGCCGGCGCCGCGGCTCACTAGGCTAATCCTCCGCCTTGCGGCGCCGGCACACCGGGTTCTAGTCCCGGTCGGGGCACCGGATTCTGTCCCGGTTGCCCCTCTTCCAGGCCAGCTCTCTGCTGTGGCCAGGGAGTGTAGTGGAGGATGGCCCAGGTGCTTGGGCCCTGCACCCCATGGGAGACCAGGAGAAGCACCTGGCTCCTGGCTCCTGCCATCGGATCAGCGCGGTGCGCTGGCCGCAGCGCCCCGGCCGCGGCGGCCATTGGAGGGTGAACCAACGGCAAAGGAAGACCTTTCTCTTTCTCTCTCTCTCTCACTGTCCACTCTGCCTGTCAGAAAAAAAAAAAAAAAAAAAAAAAAAAAAAGAAAGAAAGAAAAGAAAAAAAAAAAGAAAGTGGAATGTTAGGAAACAAGAGAGAAAAATTTAGATAGCCTGGATATGTTAACAATATTAATACTTCCAAACCATAGGCAATGAGTATCTTTCCATTTTTGTGGGCCCTTGATGATTTCTTCATTATATTTTAGAATTTTCATTATAGAGATCTTTTGCTTTTTGGTGGAGTATTTAGATTTTTCTGTGTACAAATTCATGTCATCTGCAGACATGGATATTTTTACTTCCTCTTTTCCAATTTTGATGCCCTCTTTATTTTTTTCTCTTCCCTAAATGTTCTTGATAATAGTTTTAATACTGAATAAGATTGATGAAAGTGGATATCCTTGTCTTGTTTGGGTTCTGAGTTTTCATATTTTCCCATTCAGCAGGCTATTGGCTGTGAGTTTATCCTGTATTTATTATTTTGAGGTGTATTTCTTCTATGCCTAATCTGCTGAGAGGTTTTTATCATTAAGGAATGTTGAATCTTATCAAATGTTTTTTCCACAAGTATTTAGATGATCATAGGGTTTTTGTTCTCCTTTATGTTGATGTGATTTATTACATTTATTGATTTGTGAATGTTGAAATATCCCTGCATCACTGGGATAAATCCCACTTGATCATATTGTATGATCCTTTTGGTATAGTGTTGAATTAGATTTGCTCATATTATAATGAGAAGTTTTGTATCTATGTTCATCAAGGATATTTTAAAGCTACTAAAAATCTTTAAATATTTGATGAAAGAACTATCAAAATATTCATAGACATTGAATTATAGTTCTAAACTTGAGAATTTACTCCAAAAATTTAATCAATGAAGTACACTGAGATACTTACTTAGAAGAAGGCTCATTTGCTCATTGTTATTATTTTTAAGGAGAAGACATCAAAATTTTCAAAAAAGAGAATTATTCATTATATTCATACCATTGTGGGATAACTAAGATACATTTGTAGTAGAATATTTAAAGACATAGGGAAATTTTCCTATATTATTAATTGGAGGAAAGGTAAAATATAAATTGTCAAGTTCTATTCATAAATATATTTACATATTAAATATATAAAGAAAGAAACTCTTTTTTAAAAGATTTATGTTTTTTACTTGAAAGAGTAACACAGAGAGAGGAAGGGACAGAGTGAGAGAGAGAGACAAATTGATCTTCCATCTGCTGGTTCAGTCCCCAAATGGCTACAACAGCTTGGGCTGTGCCAGGTTGAAGCCAGGAGCCAGGAGCTTCTTCCAAATCTCTGTGTGGGTACAGGGGCCCGAGCACATAAGCAGGGAGCTGGATCAGAAGTGAGCAGCTGCATCTCACACCGGCACCCATATGGGATACCAGCTTTGCAGGTGACGGTCTTACCCACTACACCACAACGCAGTCCCCAGAAAGAAAGTCTTCATGCTAATTTGGTTTGTGTATTATTTACAATTAATCCATATAAATGGAGCTGGATAAATGCAGCATTGTTAAACCATAATGAAGTAATGAACTACTTTTCATTTATTGTAAATTCTTCCTTGGCACAGTAATTATTAATCATAGCATTACATTCTTTTTTTTTCCCCCCAAGGAAAAGAAGAAAATGGCAAAAAATATATTTTACTTCACAGTTTAACTTTTACCCATTTAAGCAAATTATTATATTCACATTTTTTAATGTGCAGAAGACAAGAGAATATGCTGAGAGGAGTAGTGTGTATGTTGAGTTGATCATGCCCTTGCTCTTAATCTCTGCCTGCTGTGTCTCTGCTTCACCCTCCAGGTCAGAATAGGGACTTAACTGGGAAAGTCATGTATTAGGATCATTCCATGACTTACTACAAGACCACTAGAATCCATTAATGACCCATTTATTAACACTTTACCTTACCTCAGGTTCATGGTACAAAGGAACCTTTTGTTACACGTTGAAGAACAAAACCATAATGAATTCAGTCCGGGATAAAAAAGTTTAATCGTGAATAAAGAGAGAAAGGCACTGTTTTCTTCAAGAGTTTTTCTAGAAAATACGCTAGTGGAGTTTGTCCCAGTGATTTTCCCCCCTCATCCTATAAATAAAAATTAGAATGAATGATTCTGGTTATATTTGCTGTGTAGAAGATGTTGAATATAATGTTGCTTCAGTTTGAGTTAAGGAATTATTTCAGCTCTGGAAACTTCCAGAAATGGGGACAGGTTCTCC